ACCTCTGGGCGCCGCGGGTGCCGCAGCAGTTGCGGCGGTAGGCGCAACAAGCGGGAACAGCAGCGGGGAGCGACCACCGGAGGGACAACCGGCCTAATAACACCGGGAGTAAGGTGCGCGGTGCGTGCCAGCAGAGTTTTGCAACGCCTGAGCGAACTGATCCAACAGGAGATCCTGTTGATCCAGTCTGGCGACCAACATTGGAAGCGAAGGCGTACCTGCACCGTCAGGATTCATGGCACTTGTGTAATGTCAGGGCAGGGCTGTGGAACGGACAGGTAGGCCTAGTGGCAGGGTAAGGCACTGGCTGACGGCAACCACCACCAACAGACCGAAGTCCCTCAGGGCGCGGAGTCTAAGTCCCAGGCTGCCCTTCACCAGGGCCCCTGATGGTGGGGATGGACTTGACGCAGCCTGGAACCAGGTCGCGGCCCCCGAGACACCCCGGCTGCGGTAATGGCCGCCGACAATGGCGTGTAGCAGGTGAGAATGACAATAGCGTAGTCAGGCAAGCCGAGTCGACAACAGGACAAAACAGTACAGAACAGTAGACAGAGAATCACAGGTCACGGGCCAGGTTCAGCAACGGAAGGTCAGATCGAAGGAAAACACAGAGAATGGTCTTAGTCACAAGCCGAGTCAGAATACCAGAAAGAGTCATGAGCATATACACAGAGCTGTAGCAAGACAAAGACACAAGACACAAGTGCAAAGAGCATGTGCGGATCACAGGCTTATATGTACTCAGCCACACCCCTCTGGGGGATGGAACTCAGAGACCTGAAGGCATAAAAGCTTCCCACCATGCTCAGCAGAAATCCAAGATGGATGCCAGCACATGGAGTAACATAACCTCTGGAGAGAAGGTAGGACCTTGACACCCATCCTCTGGAACTCCTGCCCCAACCCATCAGACTATCACCTACGCTCCTCTCCTTTAGGCGCACCCTGAAAACCCACCTCTTCAGGGAAGCCTACCCCCACCCCCTGCTAAACTTGCCAACCTCCTCCACTCTTCCTACCACTTCATCCCCCACAGCTATCTCCTCTTGTACCACTATCCCTCCCTCCTGTAAGCTCGAAAGAGCAGGGACCTCGAACCCCTCGTTTTGCATTGTATTGTTACTGTACTGTCGCATGTTCTGTCCCCCCTTTGTAATGTACAGCGCTGAGCGAACTGATGGCGCTTTATAAATACTGTAAAATAATAATAATAATACTAATAGAAAGTGTTTCTTTCGCTGTCTTTGGCCCTCTGTTGGAAGGATTTCCCTTCTCAGTGACCACATTCACTGTGGCAGCAAGGGAGGGATACACTCTCTGGTGGGGAGAAAGAGAGCAATAATCACCTGAAAGAGGTTAAAACCTTTCCACACTTTATCCAAAAGAAGTTTAGCTGTACTTCACTTGAAAGGCAAAACTTTTTTTTTTTTTTTCATTTTTTTGGGTAGATTAAGGGCTATGATGCTTGTACGTTTTTGCCATCTTTGTTCCATTGGAGAGATTTCCCGCACTTTCTGTCCCATAGTCACAATAAGAGTAAGAGGAAATCCATCCAAAGTGCGAGAAATCGCCCGAAGCCCTCTGGGACACTTCCAAGGTCTCCGAGGACTGTGACCCATTCACAAAATGCAGCACACTTCGTGCATGCGCAGTAGGAAACTGGCGGTGAAGCTGCATGGTTTCACTGCTTTTTTTCCTTATTCAAGATGGCGGTGCCAGTGCCAGACAGGTTATTGATGAATCGACTCGGGGTGTAGCCACCGGTGGATGCATGGACAATAAGTCAGCAGTTACAGTATTTCTTGCTGCTGACTTTTAATTTTTTTTCTTTTTGGAGGTGGCAGGGCCTGGAACTCCACTTTAAGGTTTACACACAGAATCTGTAAGCAGAGAGTAAAGTTTCAGCAGAGCTATGGATGACAACTGTAGTGAAAGTATAACAAAAGGCAATATTGTTTTGTTTTTATATAGAGCGGAGAGGTTTTAGAACATCAGCTTTCTATTGCTGTCTGTACTCCTTTAGGAACAGGGAGATTTCACCTTTAAAAGTAAAAGAAACTTTAAAATTTTAGGTTGTCACCAGAACAGGAGTTATATTTATATAACGATTTATCAAACTCTAAATACCCTTTATTTGCAGTAAACCATCGCAGGAATCTGATTGCAACTTTTACTTTTAGTCGGAGCAGTTTTTTTTACTAGTTTGTCATAGGTCACAACTTTATTTAAGCCCTAAGTTTTTAGTTTAAAAAAATAAATAAAAATTAGCACATGAGACATTACTTACCATCAGTGTGGTGTGTCCCTTGTACTGCTTGTCGCAATAGCGCGCATCAGAGATGGATGCGGTTCAACCATTTTGGCTTCAACCTCCATCTTGGCGAAGAGATTAACCGTCCTGAAATATCTTTTTCCTTCATCCTCCCCCTTCCCCCTCAGGAGAGCTGGAGTCCCACTGTCCTGAGAACCTGTGTAATTTCACGCCTCGTAAAAAGATAACCAAGCCTTCCCCAGAGTTCAAGGCATTCCCAAGAAGCCCACACCAGATAACATTTTTAAAAGATCAATTTTTCCCCTATGTTTCATATCTTGGAATATGAGAGACTTGCATAAAAACCAGACATCCTGTCAGATTGGCTAGGAGCAGGCGAACAGTTTGATGGGTCATTCGAATTATCTCGGACCATAGAACTCGTGAACCGTGCAACATATAATTTCATAATTAATATCTAGATAATCCTCAGACTTGTCTGCATAATAATATACCCACGGGTGGAATGTCACTTGTGCAGCTGGAAAGTTATGGATCAGAATATGAATTATGAAAGATGTTGGCTCCAGTTTTAGGGTTCCGCCTGACGATCCCTCCCTCAACAGGGGATTGGTCTTTTTACTTCACCCCCTGCTGGGAAACTTTAAAGCAGGCTGTCAAGCCTAAGGGGGTTGAGTTGAAGAATTCTCCCATTTTTCCATCGTAACATAGGGAGATCAAAGCACCCTTCTGCTCTGACTTGGATCTGCTAAATCCACGACTTTGGCAAGTACTTTAACTTTTTTTACCTCTCTCTGGTATCTCTTTACTGTGCTATGGTTCTCTGTGTATTTATATATATATATATATATATATATATATATATATATATCTTAGTTACATCTCTCTGTAAATATTTTATTGCACCTGTTTGACCCTTTTAGTAATAAATCTCTTTCTGAAAGTGTTGAACTGTTTCTATAGTTCTTAATTGCAATTTACGAATCCCTGCCTTTGAAGAGACACTACTGTTTGTTTAAACCTCTGTATATCCGGCCTGCGGACCGTTTTATACAGACGATTATTTCAATCCTTATAGTGTTATAACTGATAACGTGAGTTTCCTCTTTCTCTGTACAAAAAGGATGTGGTGGCAGTGTGGAGGGTTAGTTGCGTAATTACCCGACCCAGTAACAATCGCTCAGGTTGCAGGTACATAGATTGTAGTTCATTAGCTGGAAAATCTTTGTGCAGGGTGCAGCTGGGCGTGGTATTGTTACACGTGTCACATCACGGTTTGGATCGGCCAGTTCTTCGGTCAAGAGTTTGGCGAGAAAGGTCTGGGGTCTGACGCCACGATCGTGACACTGGTGTCTCATGGTTTAGGTGAAAACATGCCTTTTCTGATGCCCCCAATGCCATAATCCTCCAGTGGGGCAGGGATTAATAGAACTAACGGGCTGTCAAAAGCTTTTTTTTTTTTTTTGCAAACTCCAAGCATGTGTTTTGCACTGTGGAGTAGCATCCATCTAGCCACTCTGCCATAAAGCCCAGATCAGTGGAGGGCTGCAGTGATGGTTGTCCTTTTGGAGCTTTGTCCCGTCTCCACACGGGATCTCTGAAGCTCAGTCAGAGTGATCATCAGAGTCTTGGTCACCTCTCTTACTATGGCCCTTCTCCCCTGATTTCTCAGTTTGGCAGGGCAACCAGCTCTTGGAAGAGTCCTGGTTGTTCTAAACATCTTTCATTTGAGAACTATGGAGGCCACTGTGTTCTTTGGGAACCTTCAGTGCAGCAGAAAACTTTTTGTAGCCTTCCCTAGATCTGTGACTTGCAATAATCCTGTCTCTGAGCTCTTTAGGCAGTTCCTTTGACCTCTTGGCTTTTGCTCTGATATAGTATGCATTGTTAGCTGTTAGGCCTTTTATAGAGAGGTGTGCGCTTTTCCAAATCACGTCCACAGGTGTACTCCAATCAAGGTATTGAAACATCTTGGCAATATTCAAGAGAAATTGGAGGCACCTGAGCTAAATTTCAAGTGTTGTTGCAAAGGGTCTGAATACTTTTGCCAATGTAATATTCATTTCAATGGCCTCTGTTCACATATGAGCGTTCTGTTGTCTGAAGCAAAACACCTCTTGCTCAAAAAAGTACATGAGCTTTTTTTTTGGCAGATTACAAGCATTTTTGGCCCATAGACTTCAATAGAAATGCCTGAAAATGTGTGACCTAAGCATTTTATGAGTATTTTGTTGCGTGTTTTGTGCTCAAACAGCAGCCCTCCACCCATAATTTCCTCCCCCCTCTAGTACTTTTTATTGGCTAAATCAAAACATCTGAAGCTGTAAAACACTTGTAATACACTTTTGAAAAGCTTGTAATACACTTCTTAAAACGCTCAAACTTTCAAATAAAAACGCCAGTAAATTGCTACGCTTAGGTGTGAATGCAGCCCTTATGAAAAAAATTTTAAACTGTAGTATCAGGCTGCAACATAAAAAAAAATTTAAATAAGTGAAGGGGGTCTGAATACTTTATAAATGCACTGTACCTGCCAGTGGTCAAAATGTTGTGGCTGGTCGTTGTATATCATCTTTTCTGCGTCTATTCCTGGCTGCAGGTTTTTAAGGGATCAGTATGGTATAATGCTTTTTTTCTTTTCTGTCTTGAGTTTGCAGTGAACACATTTGCCTGTTCTTATACTGCCTCTAACAGGATGAGAAATGTGATGCATCTCCTTAAGCATTTTTCTTAACAAATGTCCCCATTCTCTCCTATTCAGTGAAGAAGAACTACCATTTCACGATGAAGCAATAGAAAAGGTATACTTTTTACAATTGTATTTATCATTACTATTTGTATCTTTTTTTTGGGATTAACTACAACCTTGTTTCAGTATGTAAAAAGTTCCTAATTTCTTTCAGGAAGTTCCTGATTACTTAGTCTTTGATTTTGAAACATAGTTCTGAAACAAATCATCACACTAGAATAAAAGCATGATAGTATTAACAAGCGCAGTATATTTCCATATTTTGTTCAGAGTGAGAACTGGCTAAATAGAACATTTTTTTCTGACAAGCATCATTCATACAAACATTTTTTTTTTTATAATATTTTTTTAATCTAGTTAAAGACATCCTATCATTTCATTCTAAAGCACTGTTTCAAGTGGAAACAGACCATATATATTTTAGAGGGTTGGGGACATTCTGCATGTCGTGAACTTAGGCATGCCTTATCTGAGAGCCAAAAATATTTCTGCAGTATAACAAACCAAAAGAGAATCATTTGTAGCAAAACTGGAGGTCATTTGCAAATACTGCAGGGAGTATATTACCTTGAAGGGCGACTATACTGATATTATGTCGGTTGTGCTGAAAATTTGTGTGTTCTGAAATTTCAGACACCAAACAGCAGCTCCATCAACAATCATGTCAGTTTACGGAGATACAAAATAATGTACCATCATATCAAGTGTCCCTGAATAGTAGCAGCTACTGGGGGAATACCAGGAAGACATGTACAAACGTGTATATGCAGTCACCTCTTTTCACTGACTGTAGCTTTGTGGGGTTTACTTTGCTAGAGATTTTTTTTTTCTGTATAGTGTTTTGGCTGATCATTTTATTGTATTTTCAGCAAAAACTTTTAGAAATTGAAAGGACCTCCAAATGGCTGAAAATGTTGAAGAGCTGGGATAAGTACAAGAACTCTGTGAAAAGGTAAAGCACTTTTGTAGGATCATATAATCAAACAAAATCAAATAATGATTCATTTGTTCAGGTCTATCCAATATGCTTTCAGTCTTGGGTATAAACTTGGGGATTTAAAATTTGTCAACTTCCATTTATGAATAGTCTATCGAGTATCCAGGGTTATCTAATGGTTGTCACCAGTGTAAGGGGTCTTTTTACATGTGTCTTTATTGCAAAATAACCTAATGTGAATCATAAATCTGTAGCTCTTCGTCCTTCAGTAGTAGAACCATGACTGCATATTTGCAGGATGGGATGCAGGAGGTCGAATTCTGGTGGGAAGAACTACTTTTTGCTGTTGTCCTACAGATCACATATTTACTGTCTGAATGTGGTACTAGAGTCCAACTATTGACTTTAGGTCCAATGTTTTAAATTGCTGCCCCATGTTAATAAAAAAAAAAGAATAAAAAGAATTGCCCAGTCTGCTGATGCATTCTCCCATACACTTCATTTCTGCTTTTTTATCTGTGAGAAACTGGGGCAACGTATAGTTGTTCTTACTAATACAATGGTAAATATAAGTTGAAATTGAAGTAGGATGGGTGACACCTGGGGAGCTCGCAGTAGTTAATAGGTAGGTATTTCAGTACTCTAACTGGATTTTTATGCAGAAGCTTGAGGCAGCAGCTTAATATTCTAAAACAAGCTTTTTTTTTTTTTAGTTTTATGATAGAGTAGAATAGTGTTTTATAACCACCTGTCAGGGATTTTTCTAACTTATTTATTTTACTGACCATTGGGGAAATATCCCTTTATTTCTTACAGAGAGAACCGTAAGTGACAGAAAATCTGTCCAAAATTAGATAAATTCTTTCTTGGCCAGTTGTTTACCATGTGTCCCCCATTGGAACACTTTCCCTCTGTCTTTATTCTGATGACAACACTCAAAATGTTGGCTTTTCATTTCTCTTAAAAGTATTGATAAGGACAAATGGAGAGAATTAATCTCCCCATCAGAGACACACATCAATAAAACCCTGACAGGGGTTATAACCCTTCTCTACTCTATCTCAAACAACTAAATAGAAAGTTTGGGCTTTAGATAAACGTTCGTTAGTATTTGACATTTATCTGAAATGTAAGTTATATGTCATAAAAACAGTTATATTTACTTGTTTGAATTAAACTTTTCCTCATTTGGATGGTGGAGTGAAAAAAGGTTAGAACTAAACTCCTTTTTTTTGTTAAGTTTTTGTCTATGTTGAAGTGTGTCAAAAGTCTTGCAAAAGTTAAGAAGCACAAGTCGAATAGTGTACTTTTGAAAATTCCCAAATCACTGACTATACTTTGGAGTATAGCTAAATCAATCATGAGGAGGTGTAAAGAGTGTGGCACAGCTGTAACAGGCCATCTTGCCAAAAGCGAGTGCCATTGCAAAAAGAAGACTAGTGAGGGAAGCCACCAAGACAACTATGACAACTTTGAGTTACAGGCATCAATAGTAGAGATTGGAGAGACTATGCATAACACAGCTGTTGCCCAGGTACTTCACCAGTTGCAGCTTTATGGGAATGTGGCAAAAAGCCTCTGTGACTAATATTGCTATATCTGTGGATATACTCTAAATGTTGGGGGTATCTTCCTAACACTCCATGGATCTGAAGAAGTTCCTTGGCAAAACTATGAAATATCTTCAACTTTTAAATAACTAGTTCAGGTAAATTATTATTATACAATATTTATATAGCGCCAACAGTTTGCTCAGCGCTGTACATTATAATGGGAGACAGTACAGTAACAATACAATACACGAGGGGTTTGAGGGCTTTGCTCCTTGGAGCTTACAATCTAGGAGGGAGGGGATAGTGGTACAGGAGGAAATAGCTGTGGGGGATGGAGTGGTAGGAAGAGTGGAGGAGATCGGCAATTAGGTGAGGGCGGGTTAGGCTTCCCTGAAGAGATGGGTTTCAGGGTGCGCCTAAAGGTGAGGAGGGTAGGTGGCAGTCTGATGGATTGGGGTAGTGAGTTCCAGAGGATGGGGGAATCCCTGGAGAAGTCCTGGAGACAGGCATGGGAGGAGGAGACCAGGGAACTAGAGAGTAGGAGGTCTTGTGAGGAGCAGAGAGTACATTTTGGGTGGTAGATGGATATCAGGTTGGTGATGTAGTTTGGGGCAGTGTTATGAACAGCTTTGTACGTCAATGTAATTTGGGGGCTGGGGGGAAAACTAGGAGCTCGGTTTTGGAAAGGTTTAATTTGAAGAAGTGGAGTGACATCCAATCTGATATGTCGTTCAGAAGGCTAGTGATTTGGGCGGAGACTGAAGGGGTGAGGCGAGAGGTAAATGTGGCTTACTACTACTAGCAGTACTAATGTGTTATATTACCAGTTTGCCAGGATGGATGTGGGAGACTCTAACGTAAGCTGTGATGTTTGTGATCTGAGGAGACAAAAACTGACCCTTTTTGCCACCAGGCTAAGTCATGTTTGGTGTAGGTCAGATACTGCACACCATCCCTGCTGTTAGCATAATGGTGGCAGCATCATGCTGTGGGGATATTTCTCTATAGTAGGCCCTGGATGTATTATGAGTGTAGAGAATGAAGCAAAAGACAGAGAAGTTCCAGTGGTAAACCTGATGGATTCTTCAAAAAACCTGAGCCTAGGGAGAAGATTTGTCTTCCATCAGGGCACATAAAGCCAAAACTGAACAGGAATGATAATGTCCTGAAATGGCCAAGTCAGAGTCTAGATCTCAATCCAGTAGAGAATTTGTGGCTGTAGTTTACAGAAGAGTTGTTCACTCCTGCTACGTTTGAGTAATTTTGCAAAGATAAATGGGGAAAACATGTAGTGTCCTTATGTTCATTGCTAAGAGACCCATGTACACAAACTAAAGACTGCCAAAGATAAATTTACTAAACACTGACTTGAATGGGGTTTATACTTAGGCAGTCAATTATATAAATAAATTAGATTACATTGCTGTCTATTTTCACTTTGATATGAAGGAGTATAGTTCTGTTGATTAAAAAAACTAAATTAAATCAACAAAGTTTTAGTTTTCTGTGATATAACATGAAAACTTCAAAGGGGATACTTTTTATAGGCACTATATTTGTAGAGGTTTCCTGGTACACCATGATAATTCTTACATTGGAGACATCAACAAACTGGTGGATCTCAGCAGTTTTCCTGCCTCTGGAGCCACATCTCACTATACAATGTTTGCTTTCAGACAAAATGTGTAGGAAAGTGCAAGTGGAGCTCATGTTGCATTTGTCTAAATGTTTGAACCCCCCAAAAATCTTTTTCCTCCTTTCCTTATTGTGTCAGGTAACCTTTGATTCCACTTTTTTTTTTTTTTTGGAAGGTGTTACCTCCTGGAATTCCTAGGTTGTGCTTTATTCTAAGCACATTGCTAATTCTGCCTTGACATTTAGGTTCTGTTAGATTTCTGAAAAGAGCTTGTCTTGAAGTAATACAGCAGATAACCTCTTTCACCCGCTTCTCTCACACTGCTGGAAATGCCTGCAAGTATATTCCTTGTATAGAAGTTCTGATGTGAGTAACAAAGACTGACGTGCCCTAAGGATTTTGATGATTGTACATCTGTATCTCATGTGCAGCTTGAACCTGTTTTTGATAAACTATTATCTGTAAATCAAGAGTGCGGCAGCAAGGTGTATAAGGTTATAAAATATTTCAGGAGCAAATATATTGCAGTCAGAAAAGTAAATTATTAATTTTACATTTGAAGGCTTCTTATGATGGTGATTTATTGTTGTAAATCATGTTCTGGTCAAAGGAAGAGGCTCATTACTTTACTTTTACACATCTTGTATTGCCTTCTTTTGCATGTTTTTTTTTTTGTGGTTCACCAATGTGCAGACATTGCTTTTTAACCACCTCGCTCCCGCCATATAGTCCAATGACGGGCGCAAGATCGGTCAGATGTGGGCAGTAGGGTGGCCACTGATAAGCTGTTGAAATCTGCGTCGTAGTTCAGCCTGGCCAAAATTAGACACATCAGATGACAACTGTCGATTGGTTCAGTCATCCTTTACCTTTTTATAGAATATGGATATTTTTTGTCTATGCATGTAATAGAAATTAGCCTTGTTTTGCTGTTTTTCTAATCATGGTCTCTATGTTGCTTTGGTTCAGTTACACAGAAGAATTTACAAAGGCATTCCCCTTCAGCTCAGAGGTCAAGTCTGGTCACTAATCCTAGATGTACCTAAACTGAAAGATGAGAGAAAAGACCTTTATCAGGTAAACAACAACTTCCTGTTTTACTCATCTGTTTATATTTTTTATACATTGCTTTCATTACACATTGCATTCCAGGACAATGAGTATAATATTTACTTTTATATTAAAGAAATCTATGGGCATAGCATACATTTTCATTTCGTAACATCAGCATTGTAATAAGTTTTTTTTTTTTTTTTTTTTTTTTTTTTTTAAACTGCCTATTGCATAGATTGTAAAGTGACAAGGTATATATTCCACGATTACAGAAGAATACGCATTTCTGCTTTTGCAATGCAATAACAAGAAAAAGGGTCTTAATAAACTAAAGTAAACACAAATAGCTGTCTCAGTTTTGTTTAACCACTTGAGGACCGCACTATAGAACTTTCACTGCTAGAGGGCAGCCTTCATGTGCAAAAATTATTTATATATATATATATATATATATATATATATATATATATATATATATATATATATATACACACACACATATAGTAGGGGTGTGCAAGAGTGAGCGCTAATTGGCGAGCTGCTGTATACACCAAAAAAGACCATGACCATGTACTTGAGTCCAAAATGGCTGCTGGACCAGCAGGGGCCTCGGCGGTGTGACATCAGGATGCTGCGGCTCCTTCTGACGCGTTTCGTGCTCTAGCACATAGTCCTAGGTGTATGTCAGCATGCGTCCGACGTCTATTGTGTCCCTTTATATAGTGTAGAGAATGGCCATTCTCTACATTATCAATAAATATATTGAAGCAATATCACACTATTCCGTCCACGGGATGATCCAGCTGACCCAATGAGATTTATGTTCTCAAATGCGCTACAATATTGCGCATCTGGTGAGTGCGTAATTTTATTATCTGATTATCACCAGAAGAATCTTTAAAGGATCACCCTTATCCGAGACTTCACGTCTATCTGCTACACAAGGACTCTGTCACTTTAGCTACACCTATGATCACCTGTATTGATGTATATTTGCACTTTGTCACTTTATATTAACCTACCACCATTAGTTGCACTCGTTTTTGGATATTGATGACCATATCATGGGTTTATGATCTTTTATATTGTGTTTATATCATTGCATCTTATACTCTGTAGTTTTTAGCGCTGCACCTTATTTTATACATACTATATATATATATATATATATATATATATATATATATATATATACACACACACATATATATACATATTTTTTGCACTTCCACCGTAGGGGACGCACACGCTCTGCCGACACCTCGCTTCTGTCAGCGGCTCGCACTGTCAGGCTGGAAAAAGAACAAGGCTCTGCCTATGTAAACAAGTCAGAGCTCTGTTCTGACAGGAGGTGAACTGACAGGTGGTGTGTTTGCAAAGCTTGTAACAAGATCCTTCAGTTCCTGTAGTAACTGGGCCACCTAGTGTACACCAAGCACATAGCTAGGCACACATTTGACCCTTTTATTGCCCTAGATGTTATCCCCTTCTCAACCATTGTCATTAGTACAGTGAGCAGTGCATATTTTTAGCACTGATCACTGTATTAGTGTAACTGGTTATCAAAATCCTGCTATAAGTCGCTGATTGCCGCCATTACTAGTATTGAAAAGGAAAAAAAAATTGCAGTATATGTCTGATAGTTTGTAGACACTATACATTTTACGCAAACTAATCAATATACACTTATTGGGATTTTCGTTTACCAAAAATATGTAGCAGAATACATTTTGGACTAAATGTATGAAGAAATATTTAATTTAAATTTTTTTTTATTAGATTTGTTGTATAGTAGAAAATAAAAAATATTGTTTTTTTTTTTTTTTTTTTAATTTTCAGACTTTTTTGTTTATAACACAAAAAGTAGAAACCCCAGCGGTGATCAACTACCACCAAAAGAAAGCTCTATTTGTGATAAAAAAGGACAGAAATTTAATTTATGTACAGAGTAGCAATTGTCAACAGTGCCATATCGCAAAAAATGGCCTGGTCAGGAACGGAGGTAAATGTTCCAGAGGGCAAGTAGATAAAAAAAAAAAGTCAGAATAGAAACACTTAACAAAGAAATGTGCATGTGTGATCAGATGATGTGTGTAGGTAATATCACAATGATTACTATCAAATCAACTCACATTGGTGTTCAAAGTGAGTTTACAATTACGCCAAATATACTTTATTATTTGGTGTTTACGGGGGGCCTTTTCTATTCGAATAGCTCAAGCTCATCTTTTTGTAGGGAATGGTTTGGTTGACTCTTTGTATCCATTGGGAAGTGGTTGGGGCCAAAGTCTGCATCCATCTAAGTGCTATCATTTTACAAGCCAGGAATAACGTTTCTGTATTATTATTATTTAATTTTTTTTACAGAAAAAATCTGGCATACCTGGGCATATCAAGTATGCCAAGGAGAGAGTCCTCTTCTGTATTTAGAACAGGGGTATTCAGTAAGCAAGAAAGAAGGTCCACAACCTGTTTCAAATACCTAAACACAACTGGGCAGGTCCAGAATAAAGTATAAGTGAACCCTCACCTGTAAAAAAAAAAAACATTCAGTTTAAAATGAAATGAAAGGCAAAACATGTATATAGATTTTACATTTACATTTCTCTGGTCGACATAACCCATGGTATCTTGCTGCCTGCAAGCAGTGATTGCTTTTACTGACTGTGCTTCCTGAAACTCCTCCTCTCAGCACATCTGTAGTTTAGACAGCAGGCTCTGTGAATTCTGTGACACAAGCAGTGCGTATTCATAGGGCATAGTGAATATGTGTCACAGAATCCAAGGAGGAAAATGTGTTGAACTTTTCACAATGTAAATTTTCAAGCTTCAGGATCATGCAGATGAATTGGGGTAGGGTAGAAATAATTAAAATACAGTGTGGAAATAAATATGATTTTAAATTCTGACCATAGGTACACTTTCCCCAGACCATTCATTTCAACAACAATCTTTCTAATAATGATATCTGTGTTTAACACATTTTTTTTTGTAATTTATTTACCTGTAAAAGCCTCCCTTGTGGACATCCAAAAAGTCTTGCTCTTTCTGCTAGGTTGCACCATCTTGGATGCGATGTTAGCAGCTCCAGCAGGTTCAGAACTATCACTCAAGTGACATTCTGAAGAATTTCTAATTACTACTCCTCTGACCAATTTATAAAAGGTTTTGTAGGGAGAAACAAAGTTGCTGGGCAAACAGAGACAGTAATTGGACACACGCTGAGGGCTATGACTTGCAAAAAAGGTTGGAATTGTGTTAGGGCTCATTCACACACAAATGCAGCTGTTCAGGGGTGTACACATGCCACAGCAAGTCATATTCATTGTGTGGTACATACTGCCGCCAAACATGACCCATTCAAGTCATTTTTCCAGCGCCAACTTTTGTGATAAAATGCACTTTTAATAACGTTTAGTGAACACAAGCAAAACACAACACAATACAATACTAATTTTTAGGTAAAATATGATGTTACACCGAGTAAATAGATACCAAACATGTCATGCTTTACAATTATGCATGCTTGTGAAATGGCGACAAACTACAGTACTTTAAATTATCCATAGGAGATGCTTTAAAAGCCTTTACAGGTTACCAGCTTAGAGATGCACAGGAGGTCTTTGCTAGAATTATTGCTTTTACTCTGGTGTTCGTAGTAATACCTCACATTTCTGCTGTGATCACTGTTTACATATATATGTGTTGATCGATCACATAAAATACATTTACGTTTTTTGCTGTAACATGAAAAAATGTGGAAAATTTCAAGGGGTAAGAATACTTTTTCAGGGCACTGTAAAACACAACAAACCTCCCCCCCCCCCCCCCCCCCCCCCCCCCCCCCCCCCCAAAGGGTAAGTGGGACTTTATATGTACATCTCCAGTGTTATAGGAGTTCTCACAACTTACCATTTGGTATGAAAACTTATTTTATTTTGTACAAAATTTAAAAGCAACTACAAAACAAAAATCCATGCATAAATTCTCAAATAACATTTTGGACACTACAGCAAATGTCTGCACATTTTGCAGAAGTTCCACTTCTTCAGGAGAGCTGTTTAGTGTCACTGGGATAAGAAGAGAACATATTCCATCTAGAAGCAAATTGCCAGTTTATTTCAGAATAGCAAAAAATGCTATCTGGGGTCTACCCTTTAGGATGAGGAAATAAAAACCACACGGAGGGTCAAACACAAAAAGGAAAAACAAACATACAAGAGAGGGGGAAGAACATGCATACAAAAACCCAAACAGAGGGTGAAACATGGGTAGTAAGTGTATTTAGTTTGCTTAAAGGCTAAGTTCACCTTTAGGAGCATGTTACATGTATTTAGGGTGTAACATGCTTCTATGCAGCCACCTTTGTGACAGTTGGTCGGAGATTTTCCCACACAGCTGATCACAAAGTATATACAGTTGCCGGTTATCGGCAGCACTTTCCTCACGCTGTCACAGCATGAGTAAAGTACTGCCAATAACCAACAAATGTCACAGAGCAGATCTGCACTGATTTTTAGTGCCTCCCAGCAGTGCCATCCACCAGTGCCCAGCAGTGCTGTCAGTCATTGCTCCCATCATTGCTGCATATCAGTACAGCCTCATTTAACGCACATCAGTAAAGGAGAAAAATTACCTGTTTGCAAAATTTTATAATAGAAACAAAGAAAAACTTTTTTTTCCCCCCCAAATTGTTTGTTTTTGTATATAGTGCAAAAATAAAAACTCCAGTGGTGATTAAATACAACCAAAAGAAAGCTCTATTTGTGTGAAAAAAATGATAAAAATGTCATATGGATACAGTGTTGCATGACTGCGCAATTGTCATTCAAAGTGCAACAGCACTGAAAGGTGAAAAGTAGCCTGGCCAAGAAGGGGGTAAAAGTGCCCAGTAGGCAAGTGGTTAATAAAATATACATAATGACAAAAAATGTTGTGCAGGGTTTCATATTCAATTACATAGAAGAGTTAACAAGGATCTTAATACTTTTGCAAGGTTCTGTAAATCTTTACAAAAGAAAAAGTATATTAATTTGCTTTAAGTAATATGCAAACTTAACTTTAACTGAAATGCCTTGTGTATTGCTTACTGTGTTTTGATACAGGTCCTCAAACTGAAAGCAATGCGCCTGTCACCTGACATCAGACAGATTGACCTGGATGTTAACCGTACATTTCGAGATCACATTATGTTCAGAGATCGATACGGAGTAAAGTAAGGAATGGATTCATACGTTTTGTTTTTTTAATTCTAAAAAGTTGAGTGCCTAATTTCAAATCATGTTCTCTGTTATCTTTGTAGGTTCTAAGGGGGGTTTTTATAGCATATGACACAGCAAAACAAAAGTATTTAATTATTTAAGTTTTAGTACATGAATGTGTAGTTTTCCTGCAGCATATCAAGGCTATATGAAAATAACAAATGGACTCATACACATGGGTGTGTTCGCAAAGCACATGAGTCCTATGGGTTATTTCCTAACATTGGATTGCACAATCTGTCACCTTAGAGAGACAGTGAGGCTAGCAGCAGATAGTGATCGGATCTTCCCTTCGTCCCTGCATTATTTTCCTTTTAGTGCTCCAGCTGAATTACTTCATAATACCCATAAGTGGCTTGGCAATGGTAGTAATAAAGTAACTGTAAACTGTAATTACTAGGGATGCACTGAAATTTCGGCCACCGAAACATACCGGCCGAAAATAGCCCTATCGGCATTTTGCTGATTGGAAAAAATGTAGCCTATACAGAAGACGGTGTGTACTGAAGATGTGAGGGGGGGCGGCTGAGAGAGGCAGGAGAGGAGCAGTGTATACAGTGTCTGGCTGTCACTAAAAGTCAGTGCCGGTTTTTAAATGTAATTACCGGCTTATAGCTCACAGAATTAGCTGTCACTTTCCTCCCAGCTAAAAGAAATAAAGTTTCCTTTTAGTTTATTTCCTGAGATAAAAGAGACAAAGATTCCTTTAGCTGCGGGGCAAGTGACAGCTAATTGCGTGAGCTATAGTGAAGAAAAAAAAGCTGGCAATTGCATTTAAAAACCAGCACTGACATATAGTGATAGCCAGTGAGGGAGCCTCTCTGTATACACTGCTCCCCTCCTGCCCCCTCCTTGCACTCACTGCCCCCCCCCCCCCCCACAAAGAGAACCTGTCACTCATATGCTATCACATAGGTACTATTGGTCCCCTATGTAATAGCAATACAATCATAAGTTTAAAAAAAATAAATAAAAATATACATGGAAGTGGAAAAAATAAAAATAATACGCAGACATTTTGGTTTTGGTTCGGTTTTCGGCCACATGCATTCTGAATTTTTGGTATCGGTTTCGGCACCAGAATTTTCATTTCATTACACCGCTAGTAATTACTGTGTTTTATTTCTTTTCTGTGGTTTAGGCAGTGGCGCAGAAATGCCTTATGATAGTACTAATGGTACAGCCCTGTGGAACATTACACAACTCATTGGCCAAATGAGCTGACCTTGTAAAGTTTTAATAAAGCTAGCTAGACATTATTAGATCTGTCCTCGTTGCTTGACCAGCAGATACTTTTGTACTTCTATGGCCAGATTTGCAGCACAGGATTATTCTGCACTTGAAATAAATTCCTGAATGATGGACACATGAATAGAAATACTAATTGAATGACTTTAGGAAATATGCCTGTTATATTCAATGGTATATCTGTAAACATTAGTATTTTCATCAATAGCAATGTAGCAATGGGGCATCAAACTGAAACCTAGTTTTATATATTGAAGAAATTATTTTAGGATTATATTTGATGTTGATAACTCATGACTTGTGATATTTCTCATTCTTGTCACTTATTTTTGTTGAAATGTATGATTTAGTGTATTGCTGCTTCATAGTATTCTATTTCAAATTCTGTCATTTTTGATAAAAGGTCTGGTCCCCGTGTATGTCTGCTAGTTTTCATTTAGGTGGAAATCTTCTGTCAGCTTCATTCTCTTCCTGTCATATGATGGAGGAAAAAAGGATCCTTTCCACCTTGCAGTTTTAGCAAGACTTGATACAGAAGTTATGCTAGTCATCTGCTCTTAAGAAACCTGCCAGTAGAGAAGGGTACTTACGCTTTTTTTCCTGTTGCCCGCTGTCAGATAACAGCTCGTTGGCATTCATTCACATGACATTCACATTCATTCACATAGTTTTTTGCATTACCTATGCAAGGCAAGTCAACAGGTTTACTTATGCCTGTGGAAAACAAGGAACAGAGGGCACACCAACCTTGCGCATTACCTTTTGCGATAACTATTTGATTAATAAGAGAGATGTATACTCACAAACAGCATCCGCAATAACACATCAATGTCCACAATGTCCTTAGACAGCCCGGTCAGCTAAACAATCCCAGACACAAGAAGACCCTCCAAATGACTTATGTGATTCGAGGGAAGTTCCCCTCTTCCTCACTTTTGCCAGTTCCAACAGCTGCTTATGCTGAACTCACCTTTCCTTTGGTCCCTTTCCGCTCTGTTCATCTGGAGATGAGAAGTCATATACAGTACCTGTCACTCCCCTTTTTCCCACCTGTTGGCACCGATGCTTGGCGATTGGCTTGTCTGGCTCCCAGCACTGTCACATTGGGGTGAGGATAGGGGAACTTACATGGGGCTTCTCCTCACTTCTGCAGGTGGATTGAACATTGAGGGAACGAACAGAAGGAAAGTATAAGCAGATGTAGAGGTCCGCATAATTGCTTTGCCAGGTGCACTTCAGGCTTTACTACTTTGAAAATTATAGACTCTGAACTCATGGCTTATACTCTGAACTCATGGACTATGATTTCTTGACTTCCATACCCAAAAAGGATCAACTTGCCAGCTTGAGAGCTATCTTGTGAAAGGTGTCTGGAGTGGCAACATGGGAATTTCTTAAACGACATGTTCTTCCTGGGCAGTTTAAGAGACATTTGAGTTACAACATTTGAGAAAAACTGCAAAAAAAGAGCTTGAACTAGATGTTAGATTTCCATTTAAACTGGGCATCCATTTTGATGTCCACTGTATTTAAAAAATCATTTATTTTCTATAAGGACTAAAGAAAGTCGTTGGTCTTTATATGTTTTCATATTTCAATAAGGTTTGTCTCTCTTCCCTATACTTTCAAAGGGATGATAATAGCTGGTGATAGAACCATATAAATGTGTGTTTCTGTTTGATATTTGTCATATTCAAGTGCTTTTCAGCAGAAGTGTTGCCATTGAATGTCTTCTAGGCTAAGCGCTATTGAACAGGACCCTCGGTACTTCTATTGATTTTACATGCTTTTTCTTCTTTCTGCCTCTTGTTAGCTTGTTGATTAGAGCTGTGAAGTGGCTTTTCAGAAATAACGTGCGATTATGACAGATGTAGAAGACGTGTTTAAAGCAAATAGTCCAAAGTATTTCTTTGAAGGAACTAAAATTTCTCATATTTCCTTACAGACAACAGGCTTTATTCCATGTATTAGCTGCATATTCATTATACAACACGGTAAGTAGTATTGTGGGTTCCCATGAAATGTTGAAATATTTTCCTTTAGGTCAGAGAAGTTGCGTTTGAAAGAGTAGTGTCTTGTTTGCAAGTATTTCCGCACCTTTGTTTTATTTTCTTACATGAACTCGAAAAATAACTCTAATGGTTATGACCTAAACATAAGAACTAGCTGAATTTGGCCCACAACTCGCAGATAGGAAGAAAAGTGGTACAAATAGTTATTGAATTTGGCGCACTGCATTAACAAACGGCTATTAATGCCACAAAAGGACCTTTTATTGAATTCCTTTGACTGCTTTCTACTTTTTAATAGCTCAACTTTTTCTAAAAATCTTATTAGTAACCAATCAGATTCAAGCTGTTCTTTTTGGGGAGCAGAATTGAAGATGATAGAAAAATATCTTGGCTACTGTATGCAATATATAAGTTTTGCTTAAAGTCCTAAAGGTTCAGCAAAGAAGGTTTTTCACTTAGCCAAGGATTATACTGTATATTGTATTTTATGGAAAATGCAAGAGAATGAGTAGAAGCACCAAGTAAAAAGGAAAACCATTCTATTATTTGGCTTATCAGGCTTCACCTACAACAGAAAAAATTATATTATGACATTAATCCTTTAAAAATTATGCATTGTTAAAACTTTTATCTTAAATTGAAGTATTTAAAACGAAAATGTTTTGTCAATATTGGCCAATTGGACTTTACCTGTTATTTTTTTTTTTTCTTTAATATTTTATCTAAATTGTTAAGTTGTTAAAGGTGACCTGCTTCCTGTGAATAATCAGATGACTTTGCATCTGTTATGACCAAATATGCCTCACAAGCAAGTAGTGTACAACCAGCTTTAGTTGTCCTGTAATGAAGGGACCACAGCCCTCCTTATGAAATTAACCATGTTTTGTAATCCAGTTTTTTTTTTTTTTTTTTTTTTTTCTTTTTTAAATTTGAATAATGTACAATTTCAGTTATACTAATTGTGCACAGTGATGGATAGCTCTGTTCACCTGCATTAAATTATAACTAAACCACAGAAGGTGCTTGCTGGAAAATCTGTTCGCATATTGAATAATGCGAACAGGTGGCTGGGGTGGAAGGTTCTGATAATTTTTCTAATCGCCCAACATGAAGCCACTATATATAGATTACGCTACCTGGCTTTCTAGGGCCTTGCAGGTTCCTTCTTCTGAGCGAGTGTCAGTAGTCTTGCCATATCTTGTACAGGAACATCTGTGTGTAATTATCATGTTGGTCACAATGCACAGAGAATTCATGCTGCTCAGGGAACACTACACATGCTAGATCTCTGTGCAACCAGATGGTATTTAAGTGTATGCAAGAAATCTCTTGGCAAAATTTCTGCATAGTGTCAAAACCAGGCTTGTTAACTCTGTAATCTTGGCAGTGTGTGAAAGGCTGCATGTCTACAGTGTCTGCGTGAGTTCACAATGTCCCAAAATGTAGTGTGCAGTAAGGGCTTGAGGAACAGGTAAAAATCATTGTTTTAGGAGGGTAGGCTTATTACAGGATTGTTACACTTGAATAAACCTAAAATGCATTTTTTTTTCCCTAAAACAGGAAATGTGATTTTGATTATTGCTGTCTAATAAAAGTATTAAAGTGGTTCTAAAGGCTTAAGGTTTTTTTTTACCTTCACGTATTGTACACATGAAGGTAAAACCCTTCTCTGTGCAGATTCCGCCTTAACCCCCTCCCCTAATATTTATCCGAGCCCAATCGTGATCCAGCGCTGTGCATGAAAGAAGCTGCTCTTCTGGGCAGGGGTGGGCCTGAGCTGTGCTTTGTGTGTTTCATAGACAAACAGAGGCGGCTTGGGAGTGAACGAAGAGCATGCATGTGTTTCCCCAAAGCAAGCAGCTTTCCCTGGGGGCACTTAGCAGGGAGGGAGGGGCCAGGAATGTCAGCAGGGGACCCAAAAAGAGAAGAATCAGTATTGCTCTGTGCAAAACCATTTCACAGAGGCGGTAAGTATAACATGTTTGTTTTTTTTTAAAAATATTGTTGTATTTAACTTGCATGCTCCAATATTTTTAAATTGGAGCTGAGCAAAGAAATACCCATTGTGTTAGCAGCTTTAAGGAGGAATTTAACTTCACATTTGTACATGTCTCAAAAAAAAAAGCAAAAACCTACTAGAGTCCAGCTTTGCCCTTCAGCAGTGCCATCTTTAATGGAGATCCCATGCGTGCACAGGTATGCTGCAGGTCTCTACCAGTCTTTAGCATGGACTCTGTGGCATGCATGCACAACATCTCTCAGACTGCTCTTGGAATGTCAATGTCATACTTTCCAGGAGGCATTTTGCAAGATCTCACACAAGGGATCTTCTATGCGTATGCAGTTGCGCCAGGCCCTGCAAAGTCGTCTAAATTATAGCTTCATAGCAGTTCACTCTTTTAGTAAGACATCTCAGAATAGTGCCAATAAGGGATTTTGTTTAAAATAACCCAGTCAGTTTTAAAGTATACATTTCCATTTAATTTTTCAGAAATGCTTGCCAAAAGTTCTAGGGGCTAAAGGAGCTAAAAGTTTGGTATTCAGATGAGCACTAGAGGAAGCAAAGTTCAGTTCAAATCTGTGTGTAGGTTGAACTGATAACTCATCCCTATTTGACACACATGCACTTCGTATGAAAAATTATATTTATGCTATTATATCGATGTTATGTCCACTTTAAATTCTGTTCGTGTATGTAAACCTAAAATCCATTTTGTGGTATGTTTGACATTTGTCTTTCTGTATAAAGTTTTCTTAAGCAAACAGTTTTTGAGAATCTTTTGCAAAGTTTCCTTCTTGGTGATCCTCCTAGTAACAGTGCTTTCCGTTGCAGGCTGGGAATGCCAAGCTGCTTCCTTGCAATTAGCAGTAGCATTATCAGCCTACACTTCTTGGCCATTGGAGTGGTCTGTCAGGTCTAGCTGCCAAATAGCCAACTGAAGGAGCTTGCATGGGTGGACGACAATGCTAATAATTGTAACGCAGTGGCTTAGCGTTATCAGTCTGCTACAGGAAGTGCTGTTGCTGGCAGGATCTGGCAGGTTAAAAAAATTGCAACAAATTACAAGAAACAAAATACCTTACAGAATGTTAAAAGCCACACCAAATTTTATAGTAGAGAGTAGAGGAGGGTAAAAACTGCTGATATATATATATATATATATATATATATATATATATATATATATTTATTTTTTTTAATTTTCAATTCCTGTCCTGTAGACTCAGTAGGACGTTAGAGGCTCTCTTTCTATGTTAGGGATATCCACTTCACAGTTGTCACGGGAAAAAATATTGCCATTGGAAGATCTTTCCTCTATTGCTGTTCTGCTGACTCAGCATTTTGGACTTGTCATCCCTTTTATTCCCAGTGTAATTGGTGATCAAGACAGTTGGGGAGAATACATTTCCTGAAACACAGCACTCATTTGAGCTGAACAATATTACGTTGATCCATTTCTGAGATGTGCTTTTGTAACATTGTAACAGTTTTTGTGGCATGTACAGTATGTATAGTACTTGTTTCTTATTGTTTCCTCATGTTAGTCTGAAAATGTTATTGCCAGTTTAGGTACTGCTTTTGTGTTTTCAAGTGCTTGCTGACCAGCGTATGTGTATATATACAGTCTAGGCAGCATGCGGTAATACCAGGATGATCCTGAGAAAACCAGTACCAGGATCGTAGCTGCAGCCATGATCCTGCTACTGTTTTTTTCAGCCAGCAATTGGCTTTCCAGTAAAAGTGGACCAAGTGGATTTACAACCTCCTGGTCACTTTTACAGCACTCAAAATAAAAATGGAAAAGAACCCCCCATCCCCTGTGCGTGCATGCAAATGCAAGCACGCATGTGTGTTCAGCACGCATATATAAACTGTGAATGCACCACACATGAGGTATCACTGTGCATGTCAGAGTTAGAGCAATAATTCTAGCACCATAGTGAACTTTCAACTCTAAACTGATAACCTGTAGGCTTGCAAAGCATCACCTATGGACAGTTTTAAATACCGTAGCCATTTCACGGGTGTGTACAGTTTTAATTCCTGACATGTTTGGTATCTATTTACTCAATGCAATTTTTATATTTTACCAAAAATGGGTATTATATTTGTGTGCACTAAAATTCATTTAAATATGTTTTCCTGAAAATTTGTGATAATATGAAAATAAATAAAAATAAAAAAATTGCAACAGCCACCATCGTATTCTCCAGGACCTCTGCTTTCAGAAAATATTTCATGTTTAGGGGTAAACATGCACAGTTTATCATGTATGTGAAAAATAAAACAATTGTCACAGTAGGCAATTGGTTAATTTGGCCAAAAGCAAGAAAAGTAATACAAATGGATTATATACTGTACTTGGATATTCTGAATTCCTTCTAGACACATCAAGGTTGAATGTTTTTGGTTTTAATGAGCAGTAGTTGGGTAGCATCACATTCTTGTAAGTTGGCATATGCGTCAGTTCTTTCACTCTTCATGTATCTATTTTTATGATTGATGTCGTGCAGGAGGTTGGCTACTGTCAGGGGATGAGCCAGATAACCGCTGTGCTCCTTATGTACATGAATGAAGAAGATGCGTTTTGGGCTCTTGTGAGGCTTTTCTCGGACTCTAGACATTCAATGCATGGTAAATGAACTTTCATTCCTTGTTTGCATTACACTTATCAAGGGAAGCTGTGACAATAGAAATAAGAGGACTGCTGATCCTGACTTGATTTTAAAGATACATGCTTCCGGGCTGTCATGCTGAGCCTGGCTTTACTACCTAGTGAGTCACTGACCTGGAACAACAAGCATGGCACCAGAATCTTAAAGCAGAACTTTACTCATAACAACTTGATAAACATTAATGTTCTTTAGCAAGGAATATACATTCTACATTACTAATTATGCCAGCAAAATTAGGGTGTGCTATAATTTGCCTCCAGCATTGCTTGTTTCTCCTTTCTGGAGACTGCCATTTTGCTTTGAGAGCTCTTCCCTCTCCTTGGTCTCGAAAATGATACGCCGCTTTCTGCACTTCTATGTGTATTTTGAACCTTGACTGCATTCTTGGCTCAGCATGACAGGGAAGTGCAGGAGCTGCATTGTACTTGGATTCACAGTTGCTACACTGCCCTGAGAATGAAATCCGGAACATAAGACCCGCCTTTGCAAGTTTAACTATTTGCTTTTGTGTCTGAGGCTGTGCACAACAGGATAAGAGAGTGAAATACTAGATTTCAAACAGCATAGGTACTTATTTAAAATGTTTTATACATACAAAAGGGACCAGCAGGAAGCAATCTGTCAATACTTACATTTCTGACTAAAGTTGCACTTTAACTACCATCCTGCATACATCTGGGTTGGTGACCACTGGATGGTAAAGCCAGGATAAGGATGATAGCCACACAGTCTGAAACTTTAAGAGCAAGTAAGCAGTGTCAGCGCGCCCAAACATCTACCCTTGCAGCTTCACATTAAAGTAGAATGAAAGGATAAACTTTTTTAAAAGTTTTGGATAGAGTGGAAAAGGACCAGACCCCTTGTCATTTTTTTTTATTGCTGTCTGTGATCCCCATTAAGGATATTCACCCTCTCTATTTGTTCCGTTTTACCACTATCATTAAAAAAAGTAAAAGAAAAGTAATAGGGGGAAATCTTGTAATGGGGACGCTAGTTTGGGTGACCCAGGGGTCCCCAAGGAATTCCCTTAATCTTCAGAGATTTTCTCTCGCTTCCTGTTTGACTATTCAACAGGAAGTGAAGGGAAATCTCCATAATGGGCCAGAGATGGCGATAAAAATTCAGACGGGTTTTAACCCTCCTTGTTCTCTATCCAAAATGAAAAAAAAAGTTTTTGCCTATAGTTTTACTTTAAGGGAACAAGGTACTGGCCAGCATTTTTCTTAAATGTATAGTTCCATACAGCACCACCCTGTGCTGTTCCCACCTGCCGAGGGTGTCCTTGAAATAACAGACACTGGCTTTGTCCCTTTCTAGCCAAATTGAATGACAATAATGTGTCTGTGGTTGGCCCCTGAGCCAGCTGATCAGCTGCTTTTGGTTTAAACTAGCAATCAGACATGCTAGAAAGCCTGTCCCAATTGTTGGTGTTCCTACATGAATTTCCTATGCTTCCTCATGTGCTCCCACCCCTTTAAACTATTATTTCAGTGAGGTGAGGTGATACATATGTAAAGCACTCTGCATCGATGTTATCAACATAATCCCTGTGGGATTGTGGTTCTTTATTAGTTGAGCGTTTGAAATTATTTAATATATTTAATAATAATTATTATTATATTTTTTTGTTTAGGGTTTTTCGTCCCTGGCTTTCCAAAGCTTCTCAGATTCCAGGAACATCATGACAAAATCATGAAAAAATTTATACCGAAACTTAAACAGCACTTTGTAAGTAAAGGCTTTGCCTTCAAGTATATTTACACTTTTGCAGCCAAATTGGAATAACACCCACTTTATATTTGTTACATGTTCTCACTAACTTGCAGCTCACATTTTCCATGCTCATTTATGAAAACTTTAAAACTGATGCAGGGAGATCTCCTGGCCCCTATCACAAGGAGGGGCAGGGAATTGGGGGGCAGGGGGTGAATGCTGAATTTGTTACACCTTAAATATGGGTGTAACATGTTCAGAAAGTTAAACTTCGCCTTTAACGTTTAAAGTGACCCTAAACTCTCAAAAAAAGTTTGTATTCCTAACTGAAAAAAAAAGTATCTTTTTATTGCTCTCAATATTCTCTTCTAAATCTCAAAAGTTTATTTTTTGGTATCATGGTCAGCCTTTCCTTTTCGAGGGTGGTTGTGTTCATTCTCGGTTGTCCTACTGTATATAAGAATGTACCAACCTCTCTTGCTTGCTCCTGAGATGCTCTAGGGACTGTTTTAATGTAGGAATTTGTCATGTGCATCGAGTAGTGCTTGTGACCGCAACGAACGTCCACTGAACCTACAAATATAACTCACATAAGGCATGGAGGCAGAAAAAGACAGTAGGAAACCATTTAAACAAAAACAGATTACTTGGCCATTAACTAGTGTATGTTTACAGAATATTTTTGGAGAATAAGCATGACGTTTAGTGTAACTTTAGGGTTTACCATAATTAATCTTGTCTGTACTGTCATTGAAATATAAATAGGGCTACCCTGTTCAACTTGCCAGCCAGCTAACCAACAAACATTGGTCAGCAACCCCAGTCTAAAAATGGCTTTAATCAGCAAGGAACATGGATAGGTATCACTTATCAAAAAGGGGGATAAGAAAGCCAATGTACTGTCGTTGTATCTGGTCAAGTTATTAAATACCTGGTTGATCCCGCTGCTGCCATGACAATTAAAAATTGTGTACCATTGGATGAAAACAATAGCTGAGGGTCATGTAGACCTAGCCTTTCATCCTCTGTGATCTTTGGATTCTTTAAATGGAATATATTATCTTGATAAAGTTAAACGCATAAATGTTACACAGAGATGATACAGAGGTGAATATTGAAAAGGTTTTCTTCTATTATGTGTTTGTCAATTGAAGAAGCTGTATTGGTTCTTAGCATATACTGGTTATTTTTGCTTAGGGTAGGAAACACAGTGATTTTGCGTCATTGCGCCTCCTTTCCAGTACAATTCAGTAGTCTACTAAGACTACTTGAAAACAGACTATGTGGATTTTTAAATTTGCCTCAGCAGTTTTTTTTGCCATGGATGCTCTGCTGTATATAAAACTACTAGAGGAGGAATCTGTAAATCTGTGTGTATAGTAAAAAATGTAGAAACCTCTCAAAATGACAAACGTTTTTTTTTTTCTGGATTTATACCACTGTTTCTGACAACCAGTTGGCTAGTATTTAAAATTGTCAGATAATGGAAACTTAGTAATACTTTTATAGATATGACTTTTTCAGTTTTGTAATAATGTAATTTTGTTTAAACTTTAGGAAACTCAGGAACTGTACACAAGTCTGTATACTATGAAATGGTTTTTCCAGTGCTTCCTAGACCGGGTGAGAATATAAAACAATTAATAGCAGCTATGTCTTTCTTATCTTTATTGTAATTTATATGTATGTAGTTTTTTTACAGCTTATTTTCTTTGGGTAAAGTCTACTCCTGAGCAATAGGCATTGTGTTAGCTTAGGCCACCGTAAAATAGAAGAGTGATAATTGCCTAAGTTTAGAGACTACATTTTGTCCAAAGAAAATAAGGTTTAATTCTAGGGTAAGGGTCTATTCCTGTGCTCTCCAAGACGTCATGTTACTGTTGGCTGCTGTAGTGGAGAAGTTCCTAACACAATATTAATTAGTGCACTGGGGGGGTGAAGCACGGCTCCTTCCTGATGATCCTTACTTCTTTCTCACCATGTCAAGGCTGGTGCTAAGTACTGCAGTGCCTCTTCTCTGTATGCTGAGAGTGCAGGAAGGAGAAATGGTGGTTCATACATAATCATATAGTAGTACAAAAATAAATCTGGTCCGTCAGAAATTAGACAGTATAGGTAATCCAGATGTCTGCATCTTTATCAGATTGCTGCTACAATTGACAACTGATAAGCCAGGGGAGGATCTATCATGGTCCATTTGTTTGGACATTCCATTTATCTGTTACTGCAAGTAGTTGAGAATATGACTTAAGCTGGGTACACACAGACTGAATAGCTCCTGATTCAGCAGGAAATGGGCGCCATTCAGACGGTGTATACAGCTGTCCTTCTGACAGAAGCCAGTCTAAGGACCGGCTTTTGTTGAAGGGACATGCTGGAAAACCAGCATCTGATCAGTGCTTGTAGCTAATGGCTATGAGCACTGATTAGTGTGTTCTGTACAGGGTTGAAAAAAAAAAAAAAAAAAAAAACACCTCAACGTGTGTACCAGGCTTTAAGCCCAGTACACACATACCAAAACTCGGCTGGCTGAGCAGGAACAAGATGCCGATCAGCACATGTGTACTACTGTCTTTTCAACAGAAGGCTTCTGTTGAATGGTCATCCTTTAAAACCAGGATTTGATCAGTGCTTGCAGCCAATGTCTGCAATTGTTGAGCAGTATATTCTGGAAGGGAGTCTCCTTGTCAGAATACAATAGCACAGCAGCAGAAATTCCTGCATCACACATTGTTGTGTTGGTTTGTCAGTTTTTTCATTCAATCAGCTGGCTGAACTAACAAAAAAAAAAAACAACACTGTACTTGGGTACCCAGCTTTAGACATTCTTCAGTCTAGATGAAGACTCCAGGGAAGCCATTTGTTGATTATCCTGCCTGGCACAAGTGATGGTTATCAGGGCTCATTCACACATGGCATTTCCGCACTGGATAAATGCCAGTCACTGCTAGGGCATATAGAAAACACTTGCTTTTTATGTACCCCAATTACACTGCAAATAAAGTAAAAAAAAAAAAAAAAATGATAAAAGTAAACAGGGAGATGCTCTGAGATGTGCATTGCACTGCCTTCTCACTGCAGCTAATCGTAGCTAAAAACTGACAGTTGCCCATAGGCTGAAACGGAGCATTTAGTGTGCAGGCAGTGTGAATGAGCCTTGAAGTAGCTCTTTTCTAGTTCTCCTCAAGTACATCTAGGCCATCCTTCCCTTCCACCCCCTTTACCATTCTATTTCTTTTCTGTATAGAGTAGAACTGTAGGCAGGCTATGGACTTTCAAATTTTTACATATTTTTATCACTATTACTGAATAAACTTCTGATCATTGCCCCAATGACCTAGCAGTAGGGGTAATACTTCCTAGTTTTTTTCCATCTTTGAGCTCTTTTCACACCTAATTTCGACTTTCCTCAGATTTCTTTCTTTATGTTTGTGTTTGGTCTGTGACTGTGTTTACTAGATATTCAAAGTTTCTGTACAGATGCATAAGAGCTGTAATATTTATCTGGCTTTTTCTTCTGCAGACGCCTTTCACATTAAATCTAAGAATATGGGATATATACATACTTGAAGGTGACAGGATTCTCACTGCAATGTCTTACACAGTTTTGAAACTTCATAAAAGTAAGCATTTTAATGTTTTTCGTTGTCCAGTAAAAATGATTGGCAAGATGTATTGAAAAGTGTAGACAAGTTCAGACTTGATACAACTGAATTATATGAGGCAAAATTCTTATAAATTAACTAATTTGATAAGGTAATCATATGTAATATGTTACCAAAAACTTTGCAAGGAAACGTTAAACAATGTGTCAGTAAGCCAAATGTAACCTCATTAGATCATACAGATAATACGGATACTATTACTGGTCTTAAAATAAGATGACTAAAGCTGGGTACACACTGTCCAAAAATCAACCGGTTCCTGCTGAACTTTCGGTTAGTGTGTACAGCTGTCTATCTGACAGAAGCTGGTCTAACGACTGGCTTTTGTCAAAGGGACATGTTGGAAAACCAGCATTCGATCAGTGTGTACCCAGCCTAAAGCTGTTTACAAGACCTTTTGATGTATATCCAGAGAATTTTTTTCAGCCAGGAAAGTGTGACTTAACACAAAGAAGCATTCAACAGCCCACCAAAAATCAGGGGTTATACTTCATTTTAGTGGGCAAATATACAAATAATTTATTTGTGTTTGGAGCCAATTGTGCACCCAGACCCTCTGATTTATAGTACTTGCACAGCCTAAGGTTATGGAACAATTTATTTAAAACTGCATACAGCTGTTTCAAAATAATGGGCGAACATCAGTGCAGTGTTAGTAAACCATGGCTATGGAGAGACCATCCCTGAACAGAGCTTCAAGCAGACCTTAAAGCAGACCTTCACAAAGTAAAGCCACCATGCAAAAGACTTTTGTTTCTGAGAATTTTCTCTATCTTTTTCTCTCCAGCACTCTTCACCTTACAGTTACTTTAAGAAAGGGCAGAGGATTTTATTTCTCCTTCTTGGAGTAACTCTGTCTCACTTGCCCATGGGGCACTTACCATCACCTGATAAAAATTTGCCAGAAATCTTGAGAGATCTTGCAGTGTGTACATGCAATTTCCCAGATAGACACTGGGTGAGGAAGCCTTTCTAGGACACATCTGTGAGTCCACAACACCAATGCCTCTAGATGCCTGGAAGTACAATGTAGTTACCGGAAAATTGCAGACCTGAAATCGGCATGCAGAGCTACATGCAACACTGATATCATAAGTGTACAATACAGGACTTGTAAAAATAAAATATATAGTGTTGCGCTCCCAAACCTCAAATCAATATATTGTTATTTGAATTTGATCTCTATTATAAGGATCACAGTAATTAAGAATGATGTGTGTAAGTAAACATAAATACTAATACACTTATAATTTAAATTGGTGCAAATAAATCATGTGCATAACAAATAAAAAAAAAAAAAACTATAAAATAAAAATAAATATAAAAATAAAAATAAAAATATTCTAAAAAATAAAAATAAATATAAAGCAAATGTCCCAAGAAGTGACTTTGTGCTGGAAAATCTTCAATCTACAAAGATTATAAATCGGTGACTGCTTGTGAATCCTCCCTCAAGTGAAGATGTGCGCTCACCTCATAAGAAGCCTGCAATTAGGCTATATAAGCTTGTGGTTCACCTCCTTTGGAACCTGCTTGTTTAGAACTCCTGCTTTAAGATATCCATGGTATGCGACATATGCTATAGGATGAATCTCCTCTCCAGAGGGTGCAATTCCTCTATATTTTCATCTCCATGCGATTCTCCACATACAAAAAAGATCTCGACATGGTGCTTTATCTTTTATATAAGTATGACTTTAATTTGCTTGGGATATGGCACTCACATATAAAGTGTGCGGATAGTGGTAGCACAAATACAATCCCAAACCGCCGCTGATTGTCGGAGCTGTGTACTCGTGGTCCGGCAAACGAACTGACTCCCTCCGAGTGACGTTACAGTCCCACCCCTACGCGTTACGCCACTGGTCACGTGGCTTCATCAGGGGGATTTGATGAATACAGGACTTGTGTTATTAGATTATGGTCTATATGTAGCTTCCTTCAGGTGACTGGACACTGGGGAAAATTGCTAGGACCTCCCTTAGAGCACACCATGTTACTATGCCCGCTCTGTGAGACTCCCATAGGTGATGAACCTGTTCGCCTCTGGAGAATTATTATTCCTTTTTTAAAATGCAAATTATTGGGTCAGCTTGTAATGTTGGCACGTCCAGGACCTTGGTCCATTCCTATGTATCCGAGTCCCTGAAGACCCCTTTTGGGGTTAGAAAATAAGAAAAGAAAAGGGGTGCACAAGCCTTGCGCAATACCTCAAAAACTTTAATTGTTTACTCACAAATGACAAATGTTAACAGGCATATCATGACCAACAATGGTCCATTGTCTGAAAAAGTGCACGAGCCCCACATGTAAAAAGGACACTTGGAAATGCTGATGCATTTTTAGGAGCGATCTCTTCATCAGAGCCTACCTTTGTTGTTTGTGAGTATACATCTGCTATTTTTCTGAGTAAAGTTTTTATTGAGGTAATGCGCAAGGCTTGTGCACCCCTTTTCTTTTTTTCTAGCGCCATATTGGGCTACCCCAGCCCTTAGGGGGCTGCACAGTATTGCCGTATTGGTTCCAATGCTAAGGTCTATGAAGCTTTTTTCCACATATGCCATATATGGTCCTTTGAGTGCAGGAGATTTTTCATTCTTTTCTTCTTGACCCCTTTTGGGGTATCCCCATCGTGATTTGGGTGAAGCCTAAACCTCTATTAGGTCCAGCATCTTGGATATGGTAGGAACGGGTTTCCCTGTTTATTTACACCAGTTCCTGGCTTTCACTAACGCGATTAGCAGTGCATAGCATATTGTGTGGTTATATATGCAGAGAATCTGGGTTTTATTCACTGTATTATGGTAACCACTGCCAGTTTGTCTCTAGCATTTCTTGGCATAACAATTTAAACGTAGGTTTGGGTTAGCACCTGGGTTACAGCAGCTCCTATTATTAGACATGCACAACCCCATCCATCTTATACTCCATAACTGTGATTACCCCACCAGGTATCTCTCCCCGTTTAACACGGATGGATCACAGTTGCAAGTTGGGACAAAAGGGTCAGATATCATGTATTCTGAGCAAACACTGCTCAGGGGTTGTCCTTTTCCCCGTCACAAGTCCTATTATGACACTGTTTCCAATATGTGGCCCTGGCTCCCTCTTGGGGATGCAACTTATGAACCTGTTTTCCACTATGTCTGGATTCCTTGCAACCTTTGGATTTCAAAGGACAGTAACATTACTCTATTCCCCTAATCTTTTTCAGGATTCAGAAGCAGAACCTCTTTTCCTTGAGTATTTTATAGAGGAAAACATTGAGGACACTGATTTCATAGCAGAGTTTGCAGAGGATTTTTCCCACCATCTTATTTTATAAGATGCAAGCTGCAGCTTTATGCCAAATGCTTTCTACTGTGGACACACTAATTGAAATGGTGCACGCTAGTCATTGCCTAACAGCAACCAACTCTCCGTAGCCTAAACAATTCTTTATGGGCATTAAGAGCTTGGCTATGTAAAAAAAGGAAAACTATCTTAATCGTACTGCACACAGGTGGAATATTGTTACACCATGGGTTATAGGAATATACCTTCAGATGACTGCACACTTTCAAAGCTTTAAATGACACACTCCCTGGGTGCCTCCCCAGTAACCATACCCTACCCCTGTCTGAAAATGATAGACCTTTTCTCCTTCACAGGAAGTGGTTTCCACTTGGGTAAAGCGCATCAATGCATTTCTCAGAGAACCCCACTTCTTCAAGAGGTGTAGGGGAGAAAACAAACTATCTGGAGATCCACCAACGCAGTAGTCACGATCAGAAGTGTATAGTGTCTCCCTCTCTGGGGCAGGTGTGGGAGTAGACTTATGTGGCCCTGTAAATACTAAAAAAAGCAGAGGATTGCCTCTGTACACCTAGTCAAACAATATGGATTCCAAAACTCATATTCAACGCAATCCTGTAAAGTATAGCTCTACAGCGCCGTGGAAGTTAATTGAAAACTACAAGCCGACAGCCGCTAAGGCTGCTGAGACTTGTAGGCACTCATTCACAGAACTCTGTGAATGAGTGACGTGACCATGTGGGCAGAGCCCTGCACGGCTGCACTGTTTTAAAATCTGACAGATAGTGTGGGCAGACGTTTCCCCGTACTATCTGTCAGAGGGGGGGGGGGGGGGGGCAGCGGGCATGGCTTTAGCTATGGGAACATGTTACGTGTTCCACCCTAACAGGTGGAACATGTAAGATGTTCCCAAAGGTGAACTTATCCTTTAACCCCCTAAAGTTCTGATTGATGGGAAGCTTCTTGACATGTGTCTCAAGCTAGATGACAGCTTTTTACAGGAGAATACAGCATTAGATATCTGCATTATAAATTACAGTTTAGGAATATAGCTCATTATCTCGTAATGTATTCATATTTTTTTTTTTTTTTTTATTCGTACATTTTTGTATGCATTACCTTTTTATACACCTTGCTTGAGCAATAATGGAATTACAACAGTCTCGTGAAATTCTTAACATAGAAGGGCATTCGGATTGGTGGGTGTGGATGGCACCAAAAGCCGGGTGGAGGTGAGGTGGGGGGGCAGTGGCAAAGATAGAGATTTTATATATATATATATATATATATATATATATATATATATATATATAATATGTATATATATATATACAGTTGCAAGAAAAAGTATGTGAACCCCTTGGGATTACGTGGAGGTGTGCATGAATTGGGCATAAAATGTGCTCTGAACGTCATCTAACTCACAACAATGGAAGAACACAGTCTGCTGAACATAATACTACACAAACATTAGATGTTGCCATGGTTTAATTGCACATAACATGTAAACATTCACAGTGCAGGGAGGAAAAGTATATGAACCTTTGGACTTAATAACTGGTTGACCCTCCTTTTGGCATCAATAACCTCAACCAAACGTTTCCTGTAGTTGCAGATCAGACATGCACAACGATCTGGAGTAATTTTGGACCACTCCTCTTCAC